CATACCAGTCCTTAGAGGTGGTGGCTGCACCTCTATCCCCCCATACCAGTGCTTAGAGGTGGTGGCTGCACCTCTATCCCCCCCATACCAGTCCTTAGAGGTGGTGGCTGCACCTCTATCCCCCCATACCAGTCCTTAGAGGTGGTGGCTGCACCTCCCCCCTCATACCTTCCAGTCCTTAGAGGTAGTGGCTGCACCTCTCCCCCCTTCCCTCCATATCTCCCAACCCTTAGAGATGGTGGCTACCCCAACCCACCCAATTACTTCCGATCCTTAAAGGTGATGGCCACATAGCTTATACTTTGGTCTTGGGTTTACATGACAGTGAAGCTGTCATGAAGGAATTGAAGCACTGCTGCTACTACTAGTTCCCTGGCTGTCATGATGATCCTGTGCCTTCACTATGTAAGGATTCATAGGCCAGCAGTGGTCATGACACATAGAAAGGTGATTCTATGATAGACATGGTGATCCCTGTCCTAGTAGTTGCAGTGCAGTCCTCCCGCCTGCAAAAGGTGCTAGTGAGTTACTTTTGTCTGCTATGATGACCAAACTTCCTCCTGGGCAGCAGCGACTGGCTGCACCCCCTGCAGGTCATGTGACTGTACTGCAACCCTTAGACTGAAGCTCCAATTCTACAGAATATTGTACCAATATTTATCCCATGAAGGACTAACGCCGCCATTTTAATGAAAGAGAAATACTCCTGTAATTGGTCTTTTTTTATTTATTGTATTTGGCTATTTTTGTGTACAGAGAGTATAAAATGCTTTATCTAGTGATGTACAATCACCGTGTGACGGTCTGCAGGTGTCTGCAGACCGTCACTCCATTTCTCACACATAGAAAGAGAGCTTTTTTTTGTTTTTTTACAGCTTTGAGTTCTGGTGAAATTGCCAAGTTGATTTTTGTGTTGGTTGATGTCAGATCGGAGAATCGATTACATAATTGTTTTCATGTTTAGTGTCTCGGCTGAATCTTGTAAATTTCTTGTCTTTTCTGTATGTCTGATGCCGATTGGCTGACAATGAACCCCGTAGCGGGGTCAGAGTTTGCTGTGTACTGGAGAGATTTCTGAGCGACTCCTCTGGATGGATGGGGCCCCGGACATCCCATCAATCCAGGACAGTGATATTGGGGTACTCTGCATCATACACAACAGCTGGAGGGACGCACTTTGGATACTCCTGTTTTAGGATATACTGTATCTAGCCCAAACTTTTTTTATTTTGGATTCAGGGTTAACACCACCATCAGTTTAGTGTTTACTTTCTATGTATCATTAGGGAAATTTATCTTCACTTCCTGTCTGAAAGATGTAACAGGAAATCCCTCTCTTATACAGGTGTCCTCACAGTGACAATGGTCACTAGTACATAGGGATGACACTGGTCTAACCCTTCCCCCACTCTATCCAAAACCAAAAGGTTTTTACCTGGAGATACATCGTAAGTATAAGTGATCATACAGGAACGTTATCCGCTGAATGATCCACGATCTCGTTATCTGGGCTGTATACAGATCACCCTCCAGTGATGTACATAAACACTTCTCTCCCATTGGTCCTGTGAGGTACAGGGCAGGCAGATGACACTGGAGAGCAGCACCATCTAGTGGTGAGAATGAATCAGTGCAGGGGGAGTATTACAAGGAGATGCAGTCAGAAATCTCTCCAGGGGGAAGGTTTGTGTCGGTATTCATGTGTACTCTGTCGCAGTTGTGATGTCACTCAGTGTGCGCACGGCGCCATCTTCACAAACCGCTTTACTCTTTTAATAAATAAAAATCTCCATTCTGCACAGATTATTTCCAAGTCTTTATTGTTGGGAGTATAGAAATGGGGGACCTGTGGATTTGCCTATGAGCCCCATTGCTATGGGTGGTGGAGGGGTAGGGGCCTCCAAAATACTCCTATTCAAGGATTGTGTAGAGTGAAGTGCAGAGAATACAAAACATCTGTCCTGTCATCCAAACCCAGAGACATCTGACCGAGTTCCTGACACTACCACATTCCCTTCATTGTCCTCAATGTAGCCATCTGAGGAGGTGACAACATAGACAGCGAAAGAGCCAACACACCGGGTCCAATCACCTTTATTACAGCAATGAGCAAACATGGAGACCATTACTCCCTCTCAGCGTGTCCACTAACTACATCTACTACATACAACCTTAGAACCTGAGCATGCCGCCATGTAAAGGGAAATCTCAGCCTTGAATGTTCCCAATTACCGTCCTAAACCAATAAGAATACCAGCAAACAGGACCAAAACAAACACCTCTAGCACTGGGCTACGGAACTCTACACACCCAACCCCACCCCCCCCCCCCCCAGCAGCAGGGAGTACCCCTGCCGTTGCCACCAAGCCCAAGAAACTTCCATCCAAAAATTGTCACCTTAACAGTTGAGGGCCACAGCCATTGTTTCAGTATTGCTAGGGCCACTGAACATGTATAAGGTGCCCACTAGGGATGCACCGATATGTCGGCCGTCAAAACATATCAGCCAAAAATAGCACTTTTGCCATAATGCCGAAAGTGCCATTTTTCTGGCCGATACAGTGGTGCATCCGTTCCTACCTTCCTTCTGCTCTGTGTCCCAGCGGGGAGGAAACTGTCACTGGTGGCCGGCGTCTCTCCTCCCACACTGCTCAGCCTCCTATCACAGATCAGAGGAGAGCCGCTGTGTGGGCGGAGACAGCCAGCGCTGCCACAGGAGGCCGAACTCCTCCCGCACCGCCCAGCCTCCTATGACAGCCGTCAGGATGGAGAGGGGTGCTCAGTGATCGCTGAGTGTTTGTTCATAATTGGAGGACAGAGTATGGTGACTATATCTTCCATTATGAAGGAATGGGAAGTGATTTACATCACTTCCTGTCCATTCATGATTGTGGATATAGTCACCATGCTCTGTGTCCTCATGTTATGAATGATCAGGAATGTTTCTATTTTAAAAGGGAAATTTAATTTAAAAAAAAATTAACTATACAAAAAATCAAATATCATTTTTTTTTGGGAAAAAGATAAAATAAAAAACATTTTCGGTTTCGGCCTGACATTTTCATTAAATTTCAGTTTTGACATTTTCATTTCGGTGCACCTCTAGTGCCCACAATTAAGATCCACTTTGATGGCTGATATCATTAAGCTCGTCATTCGCATAGAAAACACCTTTATTTTACAAACTGGCCGTCTCTCCCCTCGCTCCTCATTCTCACCCCCTCTCATCCTGCCGGCCATCTCTCCCCCGGGCTCTGTCCCTCGCTCCTGGCTGTGTGCCCCTCGTTCCTCCTGGCTATGTCTTGCGCCTGCTGCTGGATTTGTCCCTCCTGCCCCTCGCTCACACCCCTGGATTTGTATACATAGAAGGAAATACCAAGACAACAGCTCCGACTCCGGGTGAAATCCTGTTCTACACATTGATACAAAAGTGGAGTGTTTGTATTCCATTTTCTATTACAGGCAATCAGAGCAAATGTCCAGCCTGGATGACGTAGGCTTGCGCCATACTGAACGGGGAGAAGCCTGTGGACGATGGGGCAGGTGCTCGGAGGAAGCTTTACCCCCCTAGAAATACATGAGGAAGGCGTATTCCTTTACATCTGCTGTGGCTGAGAGCAGAATATGGCGCAGGCCGACGTTCTCCAGGCTGGACGGCTGCTCCTATTGCCTGATACAGACATTGAGTAGATGGTTTTAGTTGGTGGTGTACACAGAAATAAAACATTCTGTTCTGGCTTTTTCTGGCAGGATTGTATTGTAAGTTGCAGGGAGGAAGTGCCATCCCTCTGCATTTGACCACTTCACATACCCACCATGGAGCCCAAAACCTGGCCAACGATGAAAAGCTGTAGCTTTGTTTTAAAAGTGCTGCACAGGACACGGCTATGAAGCACCAGTTATAACAAGCCGATTATTATAGCACTGACGCTTGGCCGGTGACACCACAGCCAGGAACATCACCGGTTCAAAGACAGTGCAGAGAACACCCCCCCATATCCAGGAATCTGCACTGGTGGATGAAATCCCATTTCTATGGGAGGAGGTGGGTTAGGGCCCCCAAGTATTTGCCTATTCAACCTTTGTGTGCAGTGAATACTGTACATACATGTGTGTGTAGTGATCCAGCCGAACCAAGAATCAGCCAGAAATCCAGACGTCTGACCGAGTTCCTGACAGCACCAGCTTACCCCCCCCCCATGTAGCCATCTGAGGAGGTGACAACATTGACAGCGAAATAGCCAACACACCGGGTCCAATCACCTTTATTACAGCAATGAGCAAACATGGAGACCATGGAGACCATTACTCCCTACAGACCAGAAATCCCC